AGTTATAGTTTGTGGGGGGTTTTTTATAAATGGTATTGACAATGAATAAATCATTAAGAGAGAAAGAGATTTAATCCTCCTAAAAGATCCTAGAAAAGGAGCTCTGGTGGATGTGTCAATGCTTAGAATTAGCTGCTCTCAAATAATGAGAAGCAATCTCCTTAAAGATTTATAGTTCTTAACAACTTACCAGAGAGTGGCTATGAGTTTAACCCAAAAGGATAGTGGGTTTGGTTTTGGAAGCAGCCTGGGTGGTTGTTGTTGTTTGGTTTCTGTGTGCTGTCTGCCACTTGCGACTCACAGCAACCCAACATACAACAGCCCAAAACCCTACTCTAGCCTGTGCCAACATTATTGTCACTGACATACCTACCCCCAATACCCCAGTCACTGAATCAATCCACCTCATCAAGGGTCTTCCTCTCCTGCACTGTCCCTCCTCCCTCCCAAGCCTGATGTCCATTTCCAAGGGCTGGCCCCTCCTTACAACATGGTCCAAAATATGTCTGATGAAGCGTCAGAATCCTTGCCTCCAAGGAGCAGCCTAGTTTCACCCTCTCTAGGATGAATCTGTTTGTTCTAGCAGTCCATGGTATATTCAATACTATTCTTCAGCACCACAGCTCAAAAGGCATCAATTCTCCTTCTATCATCCCTAGTCATTGTCCAGCTTTCTGATGCATAGGAAATAATTGCAAAGACTATGGCCTTTGTGTTGGACTTCTAACCAAAAAGTCTGTAATGGTGGAAGATGAGGCAGTCTCCTCCCAGAAATCAAAGGAAGATGCAAGAATAAATCGGAATCAACAAGGCAGCTGTGAGTTTTGAGTGGAACAATCCAAGAGAGTCCCTTTTATCACTATTAATATCACAATATCACTACTAATTTGCCCAAATTTATCAGTTTCAATGTAATATGACAAAATATTTTGTGGTTTTACCCTTCAAGATTTAACTTGATACTTCAAACCCTTTATTCACAAAGTATGCTGATGAGCTAGAAGAAGAGGAATTACAGAAATGGCTTGTTTCCTAGTTGTACATCCAAAGAAGTATTGCTGCCACAGAAGCAGCAACACAGCCACAAAATTTTTAAAAAGGACATTTGACCAACTCACACTCATTCATTGTCTTCAAGTAAAAAGCTACTCATAGCTGACCCTCCGCAGGATTCCAGAAGCTGGAAAGCACACAGAAGAATGCCCGCCCTTCTTACTCCTGTAGCGCTGGTGGTGGATTCGAACCACCAAAGAGGCTCAGCCTTGGGGTTAGGAGCAGAGCTCCCTGTTTTTGCCAATGTGGCTCTAATGCAAACCCTCCCATTGTTATGAGAGAAATCTCTCATTACTACTCCCTTTGTAGCAGAATACCTGCAGAGATTCTCCGAAGTGTGGGAACAGGAGGGGGGGGCGCTAAAATGACGCGAATGGCTTAGGCAAAACTGCAAATTCTCAGTCTCCTAGACTTTCCTTAAGATAAAACAACTCAGTCTCCTCCAGACTGCAGCCTTGGTCTTTTACAAAAGGGTATTTGTGCTGAATGTTTTGTTAAGACATAAGGCCGGGCCTTTGCGCCCCCATGCGGCAGCAACGACGGCCGCGGGGAGCGCGCCGAAGGGCGGGGCCCGATTATGCGTCACACAGGCAGACGTTGCTCACGTGGCCTCTAGTGGCTTCCAGCTGAGAGTGGAGTTGTCACGTCCTACCTGCCACTCTCCTAGAACTTCAGGCACGCTGGGCCTTTTGGGACAATGAAGTCCAGGCAAGCCCTTTACCAAACGTTACAAGCAGAGATTTATTCAGACATTTAGCTTCAAGGCTGGAAATGAAGAATGAAAACACAGGCATTTGCATATCGCACAGCCTTGACCTTTGCATTGTTCTGACCTGCACCTGTAAAGTCTGAGTCCCAGCCTTTTATTGGCTATTGCTTCAGACTTCTTCTACATGAACTTTTGTGGAATCGGTTACCAAATTTAAAATTTTCAAGAAGTTGTGCAGCAATGATGCAATTTTAAAAATAGAAATCAAATAGAACAAGCTATGAATGAATTCTTAAGGAGCAATGTGTCACAATAAGCAGTCTTTTGCCATCAGCAAGAGTGTGCGAAAATAAGGATGAGTAAAATTTCTTACTTTCTGCTTCCACTTACTGGCAATTTTCCCAAAAAAAAAAAAAGTTTTAGATAGCTTGGCTTAAAAAGATTAATTTTATCTTTAAAAAAAAAAATCGAAGATTACCAATATAACCTCCCCTAAATTAAAAAGAAACTTTTGTTGACCAAAATAAGGTATTTCAATACTTAAATATATTACAATGCTATTTATTGCTCAAGTTTTCATAATGATATGTTTGTTCAACTGCCTTGCCAAATTCCATAAATTCTAGAAGCTCTTAAGAGCTAGTGCAAGTCAGCTTCAGCACACCACTTTTAATACATCACTTATTAAGTATTGGGACTGATTGGAAAGGAACCCAAAGAGCCTTTCTAAGATGCCTAAAGTGTTGTGTTTCTTGGCATTGGTGTACCAGTGTGATAAAAGCTTATAAAGGCTTACACTTACCATTTGTCATTTTTCAACATAAATATTTTATGTTAATAATAGAGAAAAATGTACATATGGTAAGTAAACTTATTAAGCATTCCACTAATATGAAAAAAGACAATAAACTTAATCTGAGGAAATTGCCTACAAATAATTTAATCGCTAATTTCACAATCTCCCCAAACCATAGTAAATAAAAAAGAGAAAACAGAACTAAAAATGAGCAAAGAGATTTAAAGGCAAAGACTCCTGAATTTTCCAGACTTCACCTAACAGATTTCTACTATTTTTATAGCCCTAAAAACAGATTTGTTTCATTTTTTATAATTTTGTTTATAAAATCTTAAAAAAACAACCCTATTTGCATAGTCTCACTCAGACATGTGATCTAGGCAATGTGTTCAAGACAATGGCCCAGAAAAGTCATTTTGAGCAATAAGCCCACTATACCACACTTCCTAGATGGAAACTACAAAATGTTACTATGAGAAGTTAAAGACTCAAGTAAATGGAGATATATATTATGTTCATGGATTGGAAGATTCAATGCTGTTAAAATATAAACTGTCCTTAAATTAATCTCTATGTATAAATATTAAAATATATACTGATTAAATGCAACTCTAAAATGAATCCAAATAGACTGTTTTGTAGAAATTGGCAAGATAATTTTAAGATTTGTAAGAAAAGACAAATATCTAGAAGACCCATACAATCTTGAAAACAGAGCTAATTAACTTGTTCTATATACTTTCAAAAGTCATAAAGCTAAAAAAATAAAGCATACTACCACAAAAATAGACAAATTGATTAATGACACAGAATAGAGTTCTGAAATATACCCACAAGTATCCAGGCAATTGATGTTCAGCATAACATGTCAGTGTGTTTAAATGAGGAAGGAAAAAAACCTCACAAATATAAGAAGGATTACTTATAAAATCATGGTAAAAAATAATCCATAACTTCATAGAACACTTAAGTATTAATTGGAGTTGATCACAGACCATGTACCTGAACACGCATGACTTCAAGCAATCTTTGCTCAGAGTTAAAATGGAGTAACAAGGTATGCATTTTTCCTCCTACCTCATACAACTGCATCCACTTCCTAAACAACATGCCTCTGGAAACTCTATGAACTTTGATAAATTACAATAGTTATAGAAAGGCTTCAGGCCTTTTGTTCACAGGGTCACTATGAGTCATGCCCTACTCGATGGCAATCAACAACAACAAGAAGAAGTACAACTGAAAAACTAGACAAAATATAAGAAACAATGAATTTCAAGACATTGAATATTAGGCAATGAAGGACTGTGGTCAAAAAACCAAGATGAGCCCTTTAATTTCCAATCCTTACTGACTAAATACGTTAATTTACAAAGAGGAAATGCTTAATTAGGGGAAAACCAGATAGCTAGATCATAGCCATCTTTCTAAGTTGCGGAAACAAGATTTCTAGAAAGGAAAAGAGTAAATTTCACATGAGAAGTGTACAGAAGTGAGTGCTGCACAGAGATAGTTCCATAAATCTGAAGAAAAACCTCAAGTATTCAACTTGTAATGGCCTCTATATACATATCTAGGGGGCCCTGGTGGCCTAGTGGCAAGAAGCTGTGCTGCGATCCTGAAGGCACACAGTTTGAATCCACAAGCTGCTCCACAGGAGAAGGATGGGCAATCTCCTCCCCTGTGATTAACTGCCTCTGAAAACCTGCCAGAGGGTCAGCTATGGATTGGTTCCAACTCGATGGTACACAACAACAAAAACAACATATATGTCTAGGCTGACCAAAGTTAAACAGAAAACCATCTGAAAGTACTATAAAGATGAATAATCAGAGCTCACAAAGAACTGAGAATATTTCCTTTTCCCACCAGTCTTAATGGAAAATTTTTATAATTATAGGGCAATGAGTAAAATATCCAAAAGAGTTTAGCATCAAAAGAGGTTCGGGGCAGAATAAACATTGTTAAAACATGCCAAACTTAAACAAAGATCTGTTGTTGTGTACCATTGAGTAGAAATTGCCCATAGCTGACCTTCCGTTGGTTTTCAGAGGCAGTTAATCACACAGGAGGAGACTTCCCATCCTTCTCTGATGGTGCAGCTGACACAGCTCCCTAAAGCAAGACCTAAGAGGATTAAAATGTTTCCAGTGAACTTAATCGAAAACCTGAAAAAAACTCTAAATATTTATATGCAAACAAAATCATCCCATCTCCAGCATAGTCATCATTACTATTCTGGTCAGGAAATAAATTTGTCCTCGTCACAAAGATATGTCTGTAACTTCATATTCTAAAACTATTTGTTAAATGAACATTCTGGGGGGGGGGGCAGATTCTAAAGTTGAAATGTGTAGAAACAAAAGAGAATTGTAGAAAACTGTCTTGAAAAATATGAAAAGATATTCTTCTAAGACCAGCCTTGATGTAACCGATTGAAACATGAATCCTACTACCACCCAGAATGAATTCATCTGCTCTATCTGCCGGAATTATTTCATCGATCCTGTCACCACTAACTGTGGGCACAACTTTTGCAGACCTTGTCTCTATATATGCTGGGAGAAAGCCTCAAATTCTCAGAGCTGCCTTGAGTATAAGAAACCATGTCAAAGATGCCTTAAAGCGAACGTTGATCTGAAGACACAAGTGTTCTCTGCCAGGAGCACTTTACTGAACTCTGAACAACAAATGTGTGAGATACACAAGAAACCAAAGGACTTCTTCTGTGAAGAGGTCAAGGACATACTCTGCTTGCTCTGCTGTAATTGTCAGGAGCCCAAGGCTCACCAACACTTTTCCATTGCTTGGATTGCTGAGAAATACTGGCAAAAGGTTCTGGAATAAATGAGGACCCTGTGGGACAAAGGAAAAAAAAAAACATTAGATCAGAAACAGCTTAATACAGAAACCAGCAAAATCACATCTTGGGAGGAATTCGTAACTTTGAAGAAGAAGATACTATCTGTTGAATATGAAAGCTTACTGGTCTTTAGAGAAGAGAAAAATATTTGAAGAAACTAGAAAAGGAAAGCAAAGAGCATTCTCAATGACTAAAACAAAGTGAAAACTCTATGGTTCTACAGGATAATCTACTCAGAAAAATGTACGAAGAGCTGGAAGCTATGTGCCATCAACCAGACCTAGAACTGCTCCAGCATTTTGAAGACCTGATGAAAAGGAGCAAGTTTTTGCAGCAGCACATGCCCAAGCCTGTGATTCCAGTGCTCAGTTCAATGCCCACTGATGGATTGATAAGAAAGTTCTGCTGTTATCAAGTGTATATGTCCTTGGATTATGAAGAAATCACTTGCCATTTTCCCCTGTTTGAAAATCTGAAATTTGTTCTCTGCAGTCATAATCAACTTGTAATGACCCACAATCCAAAAAGATCTAACTGTTTCGTTTCATGGGGATCTCAGACCTTTACTTCTGGAAAATCTTACTGGGGGGGGGGGTAAATGTGGCAGGATGTTGGAATTGGTTTATTGGATTATGTAATGATTCCTGGGCAAAGAAGAAAGACATGCTAGTTAACTCTGATGGAATTTTTCTACTTTATTATGTTGGAATAAATAGCCAAACACATCTATTTCCCTCCTCTCCACTCTTAACTCAGTATGTAAAAAGACCTCCAGTTCATGTTGGGTTATTCCTGGATTATGAATGTGGTATAGTGAGGTTTATAGTACCCTCGTTTGTAGTTTATTTCCATGCTCATTCAATTACCCTCTCAGACCTTTTCTTTGCATTGGCCCCCAGTGATCAAGTGTACTTTAACAACCTCTCCATGGATCTGAGAAATTTTCCCTGTGCCCACTTGATTTGTCTTTAATTTCACTTGTACATTTTGACATGTTTATTATTATTAAAAGTCTAATATTTAAAAAAAGAAAAATATTAAGAGAAATATCATAGTAACAGTAATCAAAAGAGAGCTATAATTTTTATATTAAACATGGGAGGATCTTTTAAGCCAAGAATAAAATACATTATTTCATAATGATAAAAATGTCAATGTATTATACAGTGATAATAGGAATTCTGAAAGTAAAACAGTACCATTTACAATAACCACACAAAGGATTAAATACTTAGGAATAAATATAACCAGAGATCATATAACATTACTACAAGAAAGCAAAAGAGATGTACAAAAAATGGAAGAACACACCACGTTCATGGGTAAGAAGACTTAACATTGTCAAACTACCAATAATACTGAAAGTGATCTACACATATAATGCAATTCCAATTCAGATCCATTATCATTCTTCATATATGGGAAAATGATCACCAATTTTACCTGAAAAGGAAATATACTATAGATAAGCAAAACACTGTTGTAGAAGAAAAATGAAGCAGACCTTATATATGCTGATCTCAAAACCTACTCTACACTCAAAGTTATTAAAACAGCATGGTACTCAATGGAATAGCATTGAGATTCCAAAAACTGCTCCATCCACCTATGGTCACGTGATCTTTCACAAAGTGATGAAATCCATTCAATGGGGGAAAGATAAGGGTGTAGTAAGTATTAGATTTCTATTTACAAGAAATGGAAACAAGATCCATACCTCACACCATATATTAAAATGAACTCAAGATGAATCAAAAAGCTGTACATAAAACAAAAAAAATAATAATCATCAAAGCAAAAATTGCAGCAAATTTAGGGACCTTAATCTAAGGCACATTGAGAAGACTGAGGATCCCAGAATACTTGCTTGTTCTCATGCAAAACCTGTACTTAGACCAGGAAGCAATTATTCTAATACAGCAAGGAAACATTGCATGGTTCAAAATAAAGAAAAGAGTATATGAGGGATGTATCCCTTCTCCATACCTTTTCAATCTATATTCTGAACAGATACTTTAAGAGGCTGGACTTAATGAATTTGGCATAAGTATTGTAAAAAAGCTCATCAACAGCTTGCATTATGCAGATGACAATATCTTGTTCAGCAAATCCGAGGAGCACTTGAAGCATTTGCTGCAGAAAATCAAGGACTAAAGCCTTCAATATGGATTACATCTCAACATCAAGAAAACAAGTCTTTATTTTTGCTTACCACCAGGCTAACTGACAGCAGCATGAAGTTGTTGGTGGTGGTGTTGTTATGTGCTGTAGAGTTGCCTTTGACACATAGTGACCCTATGTCCAATGGCCCTAAACCCAGCTCTATCCTGTGCCAATCTTGTTATCTCTGACACACCTACCTCCATTACCCCAGTCACTGAATCAATCTATCTCATCAAGGGTCTTCCTTTTTTGTGTTGTCCCTCCACCCTCTCAAGCATGACATCCCTCTCTAAGGGCTGGTCCCTCTTCACATTATGTCCAAAGTAGGTCAGATGAAGTCTCAGAATTCTTGCCTCCAAGCAGCAGCCTTGTTTCACCTTCTCCAGCACAAACAAGTTTGTTCTCCTAGAAATTCACAGTATATACTTACTTGACAGAGGAAATACCATGATCAAGAAATTCACAGTATATTCACTACTCTTCTCCAGCACCACAGCTCAAAGGCATCGACTCTCCTTCTATTATTCCTAGTCATTGTCCAGATCTCTCACACATAGCACTCAATTGTGAAGACTATGGCCTATATCAGGTACACCTTAGTATCCAGACTGACATCATTGCTCTTCAGAACTTTGGAGAGGTCTCTGACAGCAGATTTGCCCAATGCAATTCATCTTTTAATTTCCTGGCTGCTAGTATCCAGATTGTTCATTGTGGAGCCAAGCAAACTAAATCTGTTAACAATCTCAATCTCTTCACCAGCCATCATAAAGTTACCAATCAGCCCAGTGGTGAGAATCCTTGTTTTCTTGATATTGATCTTCAATCCATATTGAAGGGAATGGTCCTTGATCTTCTGCAGTAAGTGCTTCAGGTCCTCCTCATTTTCAGCTGGCAGGTTTGTGTCATCTGCATAACAAATATTGTTGGTAAATCTTCCTCCAATCCTGATGCCACATTTCTCCTCCTAGAGATAATCTGTTCTGCATATAGATAGGACACATCCCTGGTTTATATCCTTCTCAGTTTTGAACCATGCAGTGTTTCTCTGCTCTGTTCTGATGATTGCCTTCTGGTCTAAGTATAGGTTTCACATAAGCATGATCAAGTGTTCTGGGATTCTCATTCTTCACACAGTTTGTTGTGGCCCACACAGTCAAATGCCTTTGCATAGTCAATAAATACAAACAGACATTCATCTAGTACTCCCTGCTTTCAGCCAAGATTAATAATAATAATAATAAACAATAATGATAAGTATAATAGTGATAATCCATCATGATTGATGAATAAAAGATCAAGGTTGTTAACAATTTCATCTTGCTTGGATCAACAATCAACACCCTTGGCACCAGCAGTCAGGAAATCAGGAAAACCTGGGAATATCTGCTGCCCAAAACCTCTCCAGAGTGCTAAAGAGCAATGTTGTTGTTGTTGTTGTTGTTGTTGACTGCCATCAAGTTGAGCACTACTCATAGTGACCCTATGAACAAAAGACCTGAAGCCTTTCTATAACTATCCTTGTTTCTCAAAGTTCATAGGGTTTCCAGAGTCATGTTGTTTAGGAAGTGGATGCCACTCCTGCTTCCAACCCTGCCTTAAACTGGGAGCTCCACCAAACACTATCCACCAGGGTTCAGCATCATAGCAAAGCCAGGATACCTCAGTACAGCAAACTGACAGAAGAGTGCTGTACTACTTCAAAGAATGTTCCTCCAAAATATAATATCTACCAACTTTTAAATACAAAGGCTCTCCACAAAGTATTGTTGACTCTAAACAAGAAACTTAAGTAAAAACAAACAATATAATATGTTGTTGTTATATGTCATAGAATCTCCTGCAGCCCATAGCGAACTTATGTACAGTAGCTAAAGAGCAATATGTCAGTCTAAAGACAAAGGATGTGCCCTGGATGTGCTCACCAAGTTGTGCCAAGAAATCTGGAGAACAACCACTTGGCCAACTGACTGGAAGAGATCTATATTTGTTCCCATTCCAA